AATCCTGGTTGATCTCCTGGATGGCAAAAAGGAAGGAGAGCATTTTCCAGTATTCTGTTGGTGCTATCCTGTGAGTGTAATTTTCAGTGAAAAGAACATTTCATTTAACCTCTTTTTACAAAAATAGGTTAATCCAATCCACCAAAGCCCAAGAGTTCCTCTGAATGGATTACAGGATTCCAAAAAATATTAACATAAAATATTTTTTAAAATCAGTAAACTACTTTGATGAAATATATCAGCTTACATTTTGAAGGCACTATCACAGTTTGTGACAGGAACAGAGCATGTTTTGGGGCATTTCATTCACTATTTGGATCAAATGCTTCATCTTTCCTAAGAAGGGTGGAAGATAACCCCAGAGTCTCACATATTTCAAAGGAATCTTTATATATTTATTGCATATTAAGTATTGAATGCATTCCTGAAGTTTCCATCCTTGCAGTTGAACTAAAATTTCTTTAAATATTCTGTCTGTCTCTCTTCCTAGTGAGTTTCTCAAACACTTAATAATTGGAAATTATACCAGTTATATACCAGTTTGGAAATTATAATTGGAAATTATACCAGTTATTATAATTGGAAATTATACTACTTCTCCAAATTAAATATACACCTATTAAATGATCCAGTTGGAAATGACAAATTTTATTTATTTTATTGTTAAATCATTCAATTTGGATGCCCCCAACTACAACCACTATCAAGTCCACACTCATTCTCTCACACAGAGCAAATGAGCCACTGTGTGCATTAACAAAGCCAGTAAGTTATCCATTCTGAGACAGGTTTAGTTTCTGAATCCTTGAATGGAGACTTAACTTACCTCATTTACAATGCAGGGAACTAAACACAGCATTCCTGGAGTTTTATGATAGCCCCTGTATGGGCCAAGGAAGGGGTAGAAGGGATGAACCACCCTCTCTTCCCTATCCACAGTCTGGTTCGACTCAGAAGATTTCAAGGAAGTGGACATTTACTCTTTAACATCAAGCAGAACAGATAATCCATATTTCATATCTGTGCTGTAGAATGTCAAAGGAGGCTAATCAGCTCTAGCTATAAAACAGATACCCAAAGATGAAATGGGAAAGAAAGAGAGAAAAATTGGAAGATTAAGGGGACAATGCCTGTAAGACCAGAGGGCTGGAACTTCAGCAATGAGTCAGAAGTGGAGTGGCTCCAGTGCAGACTAGGAAAGTTGGCTTACCGTAATGACCGAGATGAAGGGATTGTGTTGAAGCTTAGTGGCTGAAAAAAAGCCTGGGTGGCAGAGACTATGCCACCAATGAAAAGCTCTCCTGGCTTGTAGTGATTCTGTGGGTCTACCTCATCCCTTTTCGGAGTCAGGAGGCATTTGGCTTTGAACCTCCCATAGATTCCCTGGGGCCACAGAAGCAGCACAAGAATCAGCATGACTTGTGTTCTTGATTGAGTCTCCAGCCCTGTGTCGGCTTTGAACAAAGAGCAAGCAGAAGTGGAAGAAGCCAAAGTCCTCTTCTGAGATGGAAGCTTCAAGAGCTTTCCAAATCCAGACAGGGACAGGAAGAAGCTTCACATCAGAAGGGGAGAGGAATCAACACAACTCCTGCCTACACTAAAAGCCTCCCCAGGTTCTCTTTCTCCACAGCCATTTATGCACCCCAGACCTGCTATGACATGAGCCAACAAGGCCCTAGGGGATATTAAGGCAAAAGCATGAAATTGACCCGTTTGTGTCAAAAAATCTCTAGAGATTTAGCACCAAGACAACAAAGAAATCACTATGATTTGGATAATGGCAAAGAGGTGAGGGATCATCTCTGTGATCTCTGAATGAGTCAAAGGCAGATGCCCGAAGGGGAAAGTCGCAGATGGGCTCCAAACTTTGAAGATGAGCCAATAGATGAGATGGGAGATTTTGGCCCCAAGGTTATCTCTGTGAGATTTGCCCCGTTCGACAGAGAAACTCTCGTGACACGTGTGGTTCACAAAGA